TCTTTTCTCCTTCCCCTCTAACTTCCTCAATTAAAACAAAGTGTAAATCTACTCAAATTTGGATAGATTACGGCATCAGTATGTAGAAGTTTTGGGATTAGAAGTCTTTGACAAGAATTGTTGAGGAAGATTTCGAAGTTGACTCAAATTGGGGAGTTCGAATCTTTAAGAGGTATGAATCTAGCCTTGAAGGAGGGAAGATGTGTGAAGAACTAAGTCAATTTTAGAATTCCAATTCCAAATAAGATTGGGTTTTTATCTAAAATTCATATTAGAATTTAGTAGTGTGATGGGGTTGGGATAGACTTGGTAAAATTGAACTCAATCCAAAAATCTGACCCAATCCATCCATTATGGGTAGGGTCATGGGTCCCATGTGTTAATCTGAAATCTGAAATGACCCAGACTAAAATTATCCGAACCCAAATGGGTTGGGTTACGGGTGGGTTGGGTCACACAAAATGATCCGAACTTTTTTTTATTCATTTGTTATTAGATTACTTAAAATTTAATTTCTAATTTTTAATTTCTAATTTTCTAATTTTAAAAGTAGAAATAAATAAATTACTCAAACCCTAATCTCTCATCAATTTCACTTTCTCACAACTTTTCCTCTTCTCCACTCTCACTCTCCCCTTCTTCGTCTCAAGCCCTCTAATCCTTCTCTTTGGTGGCACTTGTGTAAAAAATTAGATTATGTGGCACATAGTGAGCTATGTTATATGACATTGTAAAAAAAAATTCATTTTAAAAAAATAAAAAAGCAAGAATGTCTACTAAAAACAAAATTCAGTAGTTAAGGTACCCTCATAACCATTAGAAGTACAAAGGCAAAAACATCAAGAACATCAAAGTCCGTTCTTAGTTGCTAATTTGTTCTTAATTAATAATTTGTTCATAATGAACAAAAATCAATCCCGATCCAATTTCTTTTTGTATTTGGTTAGACATTTTTTAAATTTGCCTTTTAAACTTTAATATTAAATAAGACTATATCGTTTTGTATAATGCCCTCCTCAATATTGAATAGAATTGTATTTTTTAAATAATACTCTTATAAATATTGAATAAGTACTAGATATTAATATATGTATTGGATTTGTCTTTTGAACTCTAATCTTTCATGTCTTTTCTTTTAATGAAGGTTAATATTTTTATAAAATTATGAATTCTAAATATTGTATAAGTATTATATATTTGACATATATTTTAGTTCCACCTATATAATCACTAATCTTTTTCCTTTTTTTTCTTGAGATTGGAAAAAATTTGAATTATGAAATGGAAATTAACGTTTAATAAGTTTTCCAACTAAATAGTTAATTAGTAATAAAGTTTTTTAATATAATAGTTAATTAGTATTATATTTTGTTAAAGAAAAATAGAAAAAAATATAGAAAAAATTTTAATTTTAATTTTAATTTTTTAAAAGTTAGATCCAGCTGACTCAATCCAAGACTTATATGGGTGTGGATCATGAGTCAACCTTACACCTCAAATGATCCAATCCGAACTACACAAGATCCGAGATGGCTCAATCCAAATTCAGCTAATCCAACTTGTTTGCCAAGTCTAGGTTGGGATTCTACTTTCATCTGTACAAATAGGGGTTTGTCAGTTTGCAGAGGGAGAAGAAAACTGAATAGAAAAAAAAAAAAGAAAAAAAAAAAGAAGGAGAAATCCGAGAGATTGAGAGAGAAACAAAGAGGAGAAAGGCGAAGGAGAAAAAGAAAGGGAGAAGAGATTCGAGAGAAAGAAAAAGAGAACCAAGCGAGGAAAAGCGCAGAAAAAAAAAGAAATGAAAAAAAAAAAACAAAAATATAGAGAGAGAGAAAAAAAGAAAACAGAAACAGAGGAGAAACAGCAGCAGAGGAAGGGTGGAGTGAAGCGTGCGATAAAGAGGAAAGCAAGAATAAAATTGAATTTCTTTCTTCTTCAGGTGTGTTTTTTTCTGAGAATATAGAAGAATTTTGAGTAAATTTTCTTCATAGAGATCATGCCCAATTCACTTGATCTATTTCCTTTTCCTTCCTTTCTTTGTTACGGTTGTTTTCTTGGTTTCCATATCAGTTTGTTTCTTTTACATATTTTGTCTGTCAATGATTATGAGAAAGAAAATTTAATTGGTTGTATCCTTGTCGCAAACATGATTTCTTTCTTCACTTGTTTCCCTCATGTTCTATATATGACTGCTAGGAATTATGCCATTAAAATTTTCCTTCATCTAATTAAATTAGT